CCGAGGATCCCTTCCCCGTCTTCATACCGATTTTGTCTTTCTGCTTGCAGGGACTGCGGTCAGAGGTGGGCATTCTGCCTCTTCCCGAGAGCCCCCGGCAGCAGCAACGCCGTTCAGGACATGCTGTGGAAGTGTTTTAACGGGACCCGCACTTCTCAGCGCGGGGGTGCCCGCCACGGGAACGCCCCTTCCCGGTGCTCCAGTCCGCCCATCCCACACTCAGGTGCGGGAGCACGTTTACTCTGCAGGCTCCAGGGGTTTCAGCAGGGCAGGAGCTGGCTGCTCCCTCTGATGGAAAAAGGAGAGCTTGCACTTTGCACCAATCAATGTTTTTTTTTAAATTATTTTTTTATTTTCCTTCACGTGGCAGCAGCTTTGTCACTTGTCTAGCCAGGTGTGAGGAAAAGGCTGCAGCACCTGGATCACCTGCTGCCCTTTCACTCGACTTCTACCATGAGATGGAGGAATAAAAACTACAACCTTGGCTTGTGCTCCCATGCACTGAGTCTGCTGCAAGACTGTGTTCCCTTAGAGGTGCACAGCTGCCCAGTAGCAGAGGGAAGGTGTTACTCAGAATCTCTTCAATCAATATAGTTTGGGGTTTTTTTTTAGACATATGACAGTATGTCCTTGGGGAGCCAGGACCTGCTGCATGCAGAATGGTGAGTCACACACAGCTGTCCTGGGAGTGTTTTAGCCAGCAGAAGTTGCCTGTGAGGTTCAAATGCTTCAAATAGCCACTGCTGAGCTGAGTGCTCCTGAACTCCCCAAACTCCAGCCCTGCAGGCACCACGGCTGGCAAGCAGTCAGCAGCCTGCCAACATTCATTGTCACCTGCCTGCCCTCCAGCCTCGACTCAAAGTCCACTTAAAGCAAAGTACTTCTAGACAGAGAAGTTTATTTATACACTGTATCACTTACATTCAACACAACCATCAGCAAACCACTTAACCCAAATTAGCTCATTCTGCTTTACTGCTCATTCCCCCATTTTGTGCTAGATTATTTTGGGCTGTGAGTTGTATCCCATCTGTAGCAACTATGGCAGGAAGCAGGCCACAAGGAGGACAACAGTGTGAATACAGGAACTAAAGAGATATCAGACAGCTTTAGACTTTATTACTGAAGCTTTTTATTCTTCATTCATAGGTCAGTTCTTCTAAGATGGTCTTCAGCAACCTTGTTGTGAAGCCTTAGGCTAAACCTGAAAGGTAAGCAGTTGACAGGTAAGTTGCCCCAGGGCAGCAGTGCTGGGCCAGTTCTCCAGGCCTGCTGCCACTGCTCTCCTCGGGTCAGCTTCAGGAATTCCTCCTCCCTCCACCCCATCACCTCCAGCTGCATGTACAGAGCCAAGGAAGCCAGCCAGAACAGCAGCTTGCTTTAACCAGCTCCAGTGCTAGTGCTCTGGATCAACCCCTGCTCTTCACCAGAGGAGTTGAAAGAAAACAAGACACTCCCACACTATTTATACCTATTCTCTCATTTGGTAGCAGTCTGGTAGCCAAATAAGTGTTGTACTTACCATTAGCAAACCTGCACTGCTTCAGCACCTCGCTGAAGCCCTCGCACAGCTTGAGGTCAGTCTGGTTCTGGGCACACTCCAGGAACTGCTTCATCTCATACTGGCAAGGAGCAAACTGCTGCTGCTGCTGCTGGTAGGCAGGCTGGGCTGCCTGGGGCTCCTGAAATGGCAGACACCTCCTTAAGTACCCTTCCAACAGCTCCAGACTATGAAGACAAACCACCCGAGTACTGCTTCCTGCATACTTCCTCCTGTATTTTACTCAAAATGTTACTTTTTACACAGAAAACAAATAATGAGCTGAAGTACCAAACAGGTTCCAGCAGGGGCATGACACATTCTGAACAGTTTTGTAAGTCACAATCTCTTGGGTAACTCCAAATAGCATCTGGGTAAGGTAACAGCACTGTTGTAATCTTTGAGGAGCACTAAAAGGTCTTGTGATGTATCTTATCACCAGACCTGGCACACAGAAGTCCTGGCTGAATCAGAAAGGTGCTGCAGCAGCAAGCAACACTAACACTACAAACATGTATCATTCATGCAAACCTTTGAGCTGCTTTTATGATGCTGGATGGTGACTGTTGTAGTTCCTTGGAGACCCAGTCTCTACAGTTCTCCCAGCTGCAGCTTGTGCAGTCTTGATGTCTACAGCAGATACCTCAGCCTAGACACAACTGCTCTGCCAAGTAAACCCCTGCAGCTATGATTCTATGCTTCTAAGGTTAGCTGGTGTCCAGCTGTGCTTTCACTCACCTGGTAAGTAATGTCAGGCCTCGCAGCCTCAGAGGCACTGCCTCCACCAAACCCTCCGGTAAGGGCGTGCCCGATGGTGTGGCCCACGGCAGAGCCCACAGCGACCCCCGCGGCGGTGGTGGCCATCTGCGCCATCAGCCCGGGCTGCTTCGGGGCCGGC